CGCTCCGTCGGCTGGTTCGGGGCTGCTGGTCCCTCCGCCCTCCGCCCCGCGATGCTCGCGGCTCTGCCCGCTTCTGCGGGACGTTCCCGGGCTCCGCTCCGCTGCCCGCGTCCCACGGACCTGCTCGCTGCGCTGCTGCTCCTGCAGGTAGGTGCGGCGCGGGTTGCGGGCGCTGCGCTCCTTTCCCTTCCCGCAGGGACCGGGGCTCCGGCCGCGCGTTGCTTGTTCCGCGGTGCCTCCGAGAAACGGTGGCTCCTCTGTCCCCGGTACCGCGCTCAGGTCTCTTGGAAGGGAGTTTCCAGAGTCGCGAGCCCTCTGCTCCTCCTGCTAGGGACACCAACGTGTTCCTGCCTCGCATGGGGCACCGGGGTTAGCTCTTTGGGATTAAGGACCCCCAGCAGTAATTCCGTGGCATTTCCACGAGTGTTTCTGTGGGGTTCGTGGGCCTGAATTGGGTTGTTCCTTTTTAGCAGTGACAACATCAGGAACTGCTATGGCAGTGGTCTGAGCCATTGCTGTGCAACTGGTGCACATGGAGGAGTGTGGAAGCCATAATATACACAATCAAAGCTTCCAGTATCATAAAGAGTGGCCACACAGACACAAAGCAGAAAGCAGCTTGTCTGGGGGTCCAGCACAGACAAAGTTTAATTGAGCTGGCAGTGCTGAGCCTGGAACAAAGCTAGTAACTACTACAGGTAAGTGCCAAGTTAAAGCCTTCCTTGCTGTTTTCCCATCACAGAGGTTTTCCCCAGGTCATACAACAGCTTTACTGAACAGCAGCTCCAAGGCAGTCCTGGTGAGCCCCCAGTGCCTGGCAAGTTATAACCATGGCAATTTTATAAGTATTTTGTTTCTTCATATGATGGTCACAGGGTAAAAGCTCGACCTTTGCTCAAGTCTAGGCAGGAAGAACTCTGCTTGATTTCTTTTTAAGAGCCACTGAAGATATTTGATGGAATGAGTCATAAAACCCCAAAGTTTCCAAGAAAAGCAGTGAGAACTAGGAGGAAGGTGTTCAAGTTACCTGTGAGCTAGTGGCAGCAGTGTAATTTGAGTACTGCCATATTCTTTTGTGGTGAAAGATTTAAAGTAAAAAGCAGTGTTTGAAGCTGGTGCAGGAATCTTGTGCTTATAAAAGGGCAAATCTTGCCAATTAGGGTGCAGTCACCATTCCCAGCAATTTATTTTACTCATTTGGTTTAGAGACTCTGGTCCAGTGTTCATCTTCTGGGAAATCAGCTGTGTTTGGGACACTGAAAGTCACCTATTAGAGTCTCTGAGAACCTGAAATACTCCCTAGATGTAACTGTTTCCAGTAGCAGGTTTGTGTCCTGCCAGTCCCAGGCAATTCTGAAGGAGCACTAGACCTTGAGACAGAGGTGACTATTTTAAAGACTAGAGATACTTTGTTTAAGAAAAACCTTAGAGGTAATACCATGGCTTTTTAGATGGACTGTTTCCATGTTTCTGGGACTGACCGGAGAAATTAATATCCAAGCTGTCATGCCAATTCATTTGGAATGAGATGGATGAAATTTGTGGCATTTCCAGGGTTAGATAAACTTCAACATGATGCTGTCAAAACTGGATCATTATGTTTCTGTGAAGTCAGTTTCCTCCTAGACAACGTATCAATGGTTTCTAGTTAACCATGTTCTTACAGTCACCCTTTTTCCCTCCACAAGGTTACTGCTGCCAGCGCTTTTTCTCGTGAAATTGAAAATATCCCTCTAAGGGAAGCCATCCAAAAGAGGAATGGTCAGGTTTGTAGCCTATATTATACAATAACAGATACACAACAGCTAATGTGTAAACTCTGACACTAACTACACTTCTTTATCCAACAGTGGATAGATTATGATCAATTAGGCAGTCTACGTCCTCTACATCGTACAAAAAGGACCTGGATTATCACTACCATTGATATTCAAGAGGAGGACAAAGGACCATTCCCAAAATATGCTGGACAGGTACAAACAGCCTTTTCGCAGAAGTTCTTGGACCTCACATATTTTTTACAATAAAACACCAAAGATAGGAGAGGGCAAGAATTGTGCATCAAACAGCACCTTTAAAAAAAACAGAAACAACTTATTTGTTCAGAGTTGTCTTATTTACACAGAGTTGTGTAGAATTGTGTGTTTAGTGGGTGATTTGCTCCTTTCTATGGGAACTGCAGGCATACTCAGGAGAAAGAAAACTATAGAGTTAGCAAGGTAAGAGAGTAATTGCAGAGAGCTGTGTACCTGCACATTGTGCAGAGACAACTCATGCTGTGACCCAGGAAATTGTTGAGTTGGCTGAGAACAAACCTGTAAGTGAGGCCCTATCTGCAAAGAGAATGTAGGAAGGAAAATAATTGATCTGAAGTCTTTTTATTTCTGTTTTGTCTTTCCCACTCACACTGCATTGTACTGTTCCTCTTTTCAAAAGCTGTTCAATAACAAATCATTTAATACATCAATAAAATACTTAATCAGTGGACCTGGGGTAGATGAATCTCCAGAGATTGGATTGTTTTCTATAGAAGATGATGCAAATGGGCATGTCTTTGTACATCGTACCATTGACAGAGAAAAGACTTCAACTTTTCAGGTAACACTCCTTAGAAAAATAAAGCTGTTTACAAGTATTTACTGCTTTTTCATGGCTAAATGATTCACAATAATGAGACACACCTTTAAGAACTGGTAACTTCCTCATCACTATCGTTTAGAAACCTTTGTGGCTTGTTTCGTCTTACACAAATATCTGTACACTTCTATCTTATTTTTGGCATGACCTTTGATAATGATAAAAAAATGAAAAGGTTGTCCTAAAATTCAAAGCATGTTACAGCCATAGTGGCCGGAACCCCGAGTTGTAAACCCAAAAACTCCCAATCCAAGAGAAGGGAAGCAAATAGTTGTGGTGTCCTTAGGTTTATTCTGTGATTATTTCTATTTATGTCTCCATGGACTAACTGTTCTTAACTGATAGTTAGCATTCCATGTGGCTGTCTGTGCAAGGTCTTCCTTTCCATAATGAAGAGATAAATTTTTGGGAGCTTTATATTCTCCATCACTGGACACATGGCTGTTCCAAGCCAAACACTCTGGACTGGACATTCATGGATATGGAGCCAAAAACATCATAGAAATGCAGCTAGAGAAAACTGAATGCATCACTCAAATAAATAATTCAGAACTGGGAAGCACATGTGAAAGAATTATTTTGTCTGTCCCCAAGGATAATGATGTATTTTATATTAGGCAGTCATTTCAAATAACCCAGATCCAAATCCAGGCACTGATTTTTTGAAAAGTATTGTTAAATGCAAACAATCACCATTATGAATCTACTACCTTTGAAAGGTGAAATAATGACTTAGTGATACAAGTCAAAACAAATGCCAGCCAAATTTGACCAAAGCGCCTTCAAAATTCAACGTTCCTTGTTCTATTCTGTTATCTAAATGATACCATTCACTCCATTCTAATATCTGTGTCTCTGCTCATTTAGATACGTTTTGATATTGTGCACAGAAAAACTGGTCAACCATTGGACCACCCTTTATTTTTCAAGATAAATGTTAAGGATATTAATGACAATGCACCTGAGTTTCCCAAGGAGGAATATAGTGTTACAGTAAGAGAGACCCACAGTAAAGGTAAGTGCCATCCAAACAAGGGAGAACACTGGTTTGTGTATGACTGCTTTCTTTTATTTCCTCTGTCTTTCTCTTTTCTGTGATACTATGTCTGTTCTCCTCCCCAGGTTTTACTTAAACTCTCATGGGTTTAGGTATTTCCTGTGATGGACTGTTTCCTGCCTCTTGACTCCTTGTCTGATTAACCTCAGTGTACATTAGCATAATGTTGGAGACATTCTGGAAAAACTCTGAAAATACTTCTTAACTACAAGCCAAGACTTTAACTAATCTGCACTCTGGATCTAGAACATGTACATGCACATTGCTTCACAGAAGGTGGTCAGACACACTGTTGTAGAAATACAAAGATTTAATCTGGGTTGTGTAGACATTTAGGCATGGTGCCAACTGCTCAGAAGCTGGATGAGAGCTGAAATAAATAACTAGTGAACGTTTTTGATAAAATAATTTCAGGAGTGTGATAAATCTCTCTAGTGTCTAAGTACTTTCAGCAGATTTGCTACAGAAATAAGGTGGGGGCCAGAGCCTTTGCAGGGATAACCATAGCAACAGGAGACTTGTGTGCAACAGGAGACTCCTAGGACTTGTGTGTCCAAAAGTCTGAAGACAGCCATGAGAAACTCCATGTGAAGGCTAAATGCTTTTATTAATGTCTCAATTCTTCATCCTAGATGAGCCAGTTTTTCAAGTTACTGCCTTGGACAGAGATGAAGATGGCAATGTGAATTCTCAGGTGTCCTATTCTCTAAGTATGCAAAAGCCCCTTTCAGATGGATTCACATTTAATATTGATCCTACCACAGGATTAATACTTCTGTCAGGATGCTTGGATTATGAGGTGATGTACATATGACAGCTTCTTATCATTTAATGCATGATATGTATTAAGTACATGTTAATAAGGTGTAAGGGGACGGAGAGTCTCACATCCAGCTTTGTAGCCATGATGTGGGAACTGCTTCTGAACTAAGTTTGGAAGTTTCTTTCTTCTGTTTTTCAGACTGCCAGCTCTTTCAAACTTCTGATTAAAGCCAGTGACCATGGAACTCCCCAGCTGTCATCTACTGTAATAGTGAATGTAGCTGTTGAAGATGCAAACAACCACCATCCTGTGTTTACTAGTGATAATGTAAGGAAAAACTACTTTACCGAACTTTCCTAATACAGTTTGGTATTTAAAACTGCTTCAAACTGCTAAACACACCAAGCAGTGGAAATGGGAATCCTCAGACACGTGCAGAACACGGCCAGAACGTATGCTCTGATGAGTTAAAAGCTGTGAAGGAGTAGACAGCTACACTTTAGTTCAGATAAGAGCTGTCTGTTTTCAGGCTCTGGTCCCATTAGGAGCTCAGGCCCCATAAAGACTGTTGTGATTTGCATGTTGACCCATTGATGTGATTCAGCCCTGGCTGGCAGCACCATGCAGCTGCTTGCTCACTCCCCTGAGATGGGATGGGGGAGAGGACAAGAAAAGCAAAATAGGTAAAGCAAAAGCCACATGTGGAAACAAAGCAAAATAAGGAATTAATTCACCACTTCCCATTGGCAGGTAGATGTTTAGCCATACTCAGGAAAGCAGAGCTTCATCACATATAATGGATACTTGGCAAGATAAATGCCCTAAGTGTCCTCCCTTTCCTCCTTCTTGCCTGCAGCTTTTATTGCTGAGCAGGATGCCATATGGCATGGGATATCCCTTTCGTCCTTTGGGGTCAGCTGTGCTGGCTGTGTCCTCTCCCAGCTTCTTGTGCACCCCCAGCCTACCTGCTAGTGGGGCAGTGTGAGAAGCAGAACAAAGCCTAGACACTGTGTTAGCACCCTTATGCAGTGACAAAAACAACCCTGTGTGATCAACACCGTTTTCATCACAAATCCAAAGCATAGCATCATACAAGCTCCTATGAAGAAAATAAATTAGCCCAGCCAAAATCAGGGCATACCTCCAGAGTGCAAAGTCATGTCAGGCACTGGTATGTGTAAATATTTGAAGGTGTGAACAGTAAGAGAGGTACCAAGTTACAACAGTGCATGCGAAGTCACCTGTGAAGACAAACACACTGGAGTCTGTTACCATGGTAGGTCTCCTACCTGCAGAATGGTCTTTGGAAGACCTGAGAGAATAAGGTTATCTAATCTGCCAGAACAGGTTTATACAAGAAATCAATACTGCCTCATCACTAACTCCAGTATAGTAAAATCCCCAGCCTACTCACAGCAGTGATTTGTTTCCTCTGAGTGCATGTATTATTCTTTTAAAAGCTGTGATGCAAGGACAGTATTATTTACATATTAGAAGGCAAGAGTCTGAATTTTCAGATCTCAACCAGTGACCAACTTATATGAAGTAAATAAACCCAAAATACATTTTAGTACCATCTTGTCTTTTAAGTCATATTTCTGCCTCAGGTGATTTAACTGGCATTTTTTAGCCTGTCTTTGGAGTGCTAGTTACGCAAGCTGGTGGCTGCATTGCACCATCAAAAACTTCAACCACTGTGAAGAAATTACCTAAGTCTCATACAAACTTGCTTCCTGCATGGTCAGGTATGTAACATCTGCAGACTAGTTCTGGCCAAAGCCTGTATGCACCATGCTCTCCAACACAGCAGAAGACAATCTTGGATGAAAAGCCCCAGTGGCATTGATGGCCCTATTGGTATAGCCAATATTAGGAGAGATAAGTAGTCTCCTGATTTTAGAGGAAGATCAGGTTTAGTAATAAATTCTTTATGAAGTCAGTGGGAATGTGTTGAAGGAAAGTTAATTCTGTAACTCCCATAGGGGTTCTCTGTCACCAAGTGGAGACACATGAACCACTGCAGATAATGCCAGTCTGTGCAGAAAGTAGCTCCACATAGTCTGGTGGTGGAGCTCTGGCTCAGAAGTGGCTAACAAGCTTCCTCCTCTCAGGGAATAGAAATAATCCTCATTTCTTTCCTTTCCCTTCCCAGTACCAGCTGCAGATTTCAGCAGGTCAAGAACATCCAGCTGTACTAAGGCTCCACGTGGAAGATAGAGACTCTCCCAACACTCCTGCTTGGAGAGCAAAATACAGAGTGATGAAAGGCAACGAGAAGGAACAGTTCACCATTGAGACAGATCCAGACACAAATGAAGGCATTTTGAGTATTACCAAGGTAAGGAGTAGTAACAGATGAGCATCGTGTAGCGTGGCCAGTCTGATTACAAGACCAATAGTTTAGTAACTGAGCTGAGTTTGGTGAGCTGAGCTGTATGCTCCAGGTGCACAGAGACGACTGCCAAACCAAAGGTCACAACTGCTAATCAGACTTTTGTCTGGGGTTTTCAGCCTCTTGACTATGAAGATGACTCTGAGATGAGACTTGTCATTTCTGTAGCAAATGAAGAAGCTTTTTTCCTCTGTAAAAACGGCACTGTGATGATCCCAAGCCTAGAATCCATAAATACAACTGTGTACATCAAGGTCTTGGAATCACAACGTGTTCCAAGGTTTCATCCTCCTATACTTACTGTCCAAAGAGAAGATTCAGTGAAGCCTGGGAGAGTGTTTAGGAGGTATCCTGCCACATATCCAAATGATGTGCCCAGTAATATAAAGTAAGTAGAGATGCTTTTAACTCTCAGAATAAGAAGTAGCTTAGGAATATAAAGAGACTTTCAAGTTTAATTTGGTATATGTACATATGTAAATAAACGTGCATATATATATTTACAGTTATATATATTATATTAGAGGTGCAGGTTTCCTATTGATGATACTGCAGATCATCACCAGATAGCTGGTTCTCTAAGATACAATTTACAGGTTCAGTCAGTCCTTGGTTGCCAGATTTTTCTATTGTCTTCATAATACTTTTGCAAAAAAATCATGTTGCATTGTTTGTATTTTACTTCTGATGTCAAGATTTTGATTTTGATAGAGTTAACAAATTAAGCATCACTAACATGTAAAAATACCTACAGAGCTCAAAAGGACAAAGAAAAATGCAGTAGAAAATTTATATTATTCAAAATCCTTTTAAGAAAATATGGCACTTGTAACTTTTCCTTTCTTTTTAAGATATGAGCTAGCCCATGACCCAGATAGTTGGCTGAGTGTGGATGAGAATTCTGGAATTCTTACTGTGGCAAAAGAATTTGATCAAGAATCTCCTCATGTGAACAACAGCCTGTACACCATCATTGTTCATGGTATTGATCATGGTAAGTAGCCAGCCAGAAAATATTTAAGCAGTATTTGGCCTGTTTGAGATGAGGTACATGTTATTACAAAATGATAGCAATCCTAAGGATGTAAGTGGAGAATGATAAAGCAGAACACTCAAATGTTTAAAACTTGTATTATTTGTGACACGGTAGCATAAATGACAGACATCCTGCCAGGTGACTGGGTGTTGCCCATACCTAGTTATGAGTGTTTTTCTGTTTCTTTTCTCTGTCTAGGTATTCCACCACAGACTGCTACTGGTACTATCCTGCTTTACTTGTCTGACATTAATGATCATATGCCAATGTTAGTGGATCCTTCTTTAGATGTGTGTGACAAAAATGAAGGGACCCCTTTCATTATAAGAGCTAAGTCTGCTCCCATCAGTTCACATTCTGGGCCATTTACATTTGAGCTGGCTGAGGACCCTGAAGATGTGAAGCATAATTGGAAATTAGGAAGGAACTTTGGTGAGTTCTTCCTTTCATGTCCTTTATGGCAACTTTATTGTCGCTTGCGTGCTGGCTACTTATTTCAGTGTCTTTTACCTTTATGGTTTGTTACTGATTTGTCTCAATGAGACTGAAAGGACATAGAAGAACAGCTTTCAAAATATAAACTTACAGCAATTTGAAAAAAGTCTCATGGTTGTTCATCTCTGCTGAGGACAGGACCAGAAGCAATGTGCTCCAGTTGCAGAAAGTGGGTGGAACCACTTCTGCCTTTGATTAACAACCTAATGAATTCCAGGGGTTATCAGTGCTGCCATACCAGAATGCAACAAGACTGGGACAGATCTCTTTGCTCAGAAGGCTCTGCAGGGTGCTAAAGTGGGATTGTCCTATTTACTATGGTGCATTAAGGCTTGAAACAGTATTTGAAAATCAGGTGCAAATGAGTTTCCCTTTAATTATCAACAGAAGGGTCTATATCAGACTTCTTTCTATGAGCTTTGAAATGATTTGCTTGTCTTCTTTTTAGGGGAGTCAGTTGAGCTTTTAATGTTAAGAAGCCTCCCACAAGGTACCTACTTGGTGCCCATCATTATTCAGGACAGCCAAGGATTTTCTACAAGGCAGAATCAGCAAGTTAGGCTCTGCTTTTGCCCAGATGGACATACATGTAAAGATTCTCCCCTTCCACAAACAGCAGTGAGACTTGGAGGTGGTGCCATTGCAATAATAGTGATTGTTTTCTTATTACTACTGGGTAAGTAACTTATGCAAGCAAGTTATTTGTTGCCTGCCCATTGGATCTCATTGCTATTGCAGCTCATGAACATGTGCTAAAATCTATCAGCCTTAACAGGAAAGACCATTTGCCATAGTGAGTTGGAGTGTAGTCAAGGTGCAAGCAGTTAATACTTGCACTCTTTATGGTGCTTTCATCCATGTGTCCCAGTCAATGACCCATGCTCTCTTTAAATTTTAGAAAGACCTTAGTTTCCTACCTAACAAAAAATTGATAGATTATCTGACTGCTATTCCTCTGACTACTTCTGAGTGACCCAGTATGTCTGCCTGCTCAGTGCAGGCTCTCTGCAGACAACAGCTTGGCTTCCTGAAGCAGATGAACCACTCCACACCCAGCGTTGCATCTGTACAGCTACATTGCTGGAGTTTCTGAGTTAGCTCATTTGGAATTGGGCTGGGTACCACTCTATTGAGCCATACAGATGTAGTCACAGTGCCCACTACACCATTCCCTTTCTTCTTTCAACAGTTTCCAGTATTCTACTTTGCCAGTTTTATGTGCCAGGATCTAAAAGCAAAGCCATTATTCTACCTGAAGAAGGTGAACAGACTTTCATTAATTATAATGAAGAGAGCAGAACATATTTGTCTCAGGTAAGTGCAGAAGCACATATTCCCATTACCCACCAGTGCTGTGTGGCTGAATCTGGTACTAGTCATCTCTTTCATCATGTTTCCTCTGGTTTTGGTATTAAGCAAAAGCAATCTTTTTTTTTCTTTTTCTTTTCTTTTTTTTTTTTTTTTACTGTTAAGCATGCCTTGGGAGTAGTGGCATGGACTGGATAATGTCTTGTGACTGACTATAATCACTCCTACCATTTTTCCGCATCTGCAGGACCTTCCCAGGTGCCTCATCCTGCTGATGAATCCAACAGATGAGGAGGCACATCATCTCTTTTCACACTGCACATACTAGTGTTTTCACCAAAGGAGTAAATGAAAGTGAAAAAGGGCATAGTTTGCCAAAAAAGTGTGATCCTTCTCAGCCTAGTTCAGTTTCTTATTAATACCATCCCTTGCCCTCTCTGCAGGCTGAGCTTGATCTAACAGATCATACTGTTCTCTCACCTGTGTCTGTGAAGTCTGGAAAAGCATCGATTGCTGAGGTAACTGCCTGTTTGCTTATACAAATGCCCTTTTTCTATACCACACAATTTGGTAATCCCAAGGATGAGGTTGATATTAATAATAGTGGGAAGAGTAATGCAATATAGTTAAATTAGAAAATGTCACTTGTTGGAGATTCCACTGGAATTTAAAATACTGTTGACAACTTATTTTTGTCTAACAGCTTTCAGTTTGAAACTGGCACTTTTCATTAGTTACTGTTCTAAATATTTGGAAGTGTAATTTCTTCCAAAATTCTTATCACAGTAAATGAATTGATATGCACAAGATTTTATTCAGTTCTTGGCATAAGTGAAATGGAACCATTGTTCTTCAAATATCTATCAAAACATGCTGGTCAACATCTACTTAATATATTGTAAAAGTGTGGATAGGATTTATGAGTAATTTTATGAATCTTAAGATGTACTTCTGGGCGTTTGAAGGCTTTTTAGTTTTGTTCCATAGATTTTTGTGCTGTATTCTCTAACTGATGTCTGTTTTTATTGTAAAGAACACCTGAAGAAAATTATGTTCTAAATAAGTAGGTGACTGCCATGTCTTCTGTTCATAAGTATGTAGTGACCACCAAGAGACTCTAAGAACAATCTCTGTCTTACAGCAGGCAAAGAAAATGTAAAATAGTCTTTTTTATGTATTTGAGAACCCAATTCCACAATCCTAAAGACTGTCATTAGGAGCTAGGATTACCTGTGTGAATAGACATTAAGTTCTGAGGTCATGCCACTAACAAAAAGGAATCCAATACATTTAGAGTAAGAAACATACTTAATTACTGGAGATTATGAAGAACATCTACTACTGGTGACTCCATGTACAACGTGGAGTGTGTACTCATAAGAAACAGTCCCTGAACAGAAAAAGCTGCAGTGTAACTGGATAAGACAGCACAAGAGAAATGGATGTAACAGTTGGATTTATTTGTATCTGAAAGTGGGTGGCTGTATGGTGGTCAAACCTGAGATGCTCTGTCTGTCTGCCAGGATGGCCTGTACCCTAGTTATGAGGCATTCCAAACAAGACACCTTGATCACATCACACAGACAGTGGACAAAATACTGGGTCAGGTAAGAAATGAATGTTGAGTCCCTCCTTTGTCAAGTTGGCTTGTAAGAATAGGAAAAAAGGCTGACAAAACTAGAAAGCTGCAACAGCTTCAGCTACTCTCTCAGCCCACATCTAGGAAGCATTACAATCAAAAGCAAGGGATATATTTGATGGGGAAACATTGAAGACTTTTCTGTGTTGAAAATGTCTTGTCTTTTAAACTTCTTGTTGCCCCTAGCTGGTCACTTCAAGGCTGGAGTCTGTCACCTCTAACAAATTCTTCATGATGGGGAAGGGAAGCAGGGTTAAAATGCTTTCAGCTGCTGTGCAGGGTTAAAGTTCAGCTGCCTGCTCTTTCACTGCTGTGCTATCAAGGGAAATCCCTGTTCCTCTTGCCATGTTCTGTCTGGATGTTCATAGGGCTGTTCTCCATGCTTCCCTGGGCCAAACTGCCTGTCTCCACACAGCTTGATAGCTGTCTGGTCCAGGACAGATCAAACACTCTTTTCTACCTCATTTGTACTTGAGGGGAAGTTCAGGTTCTGATGCTTTTGCAACTGAGAGTTTCAGTGAAACTTTCCTGATCAGGGAAAGACTAATACTCTTCACTGTAATCTGGTTTGCCTGCCCAATTTGCATATAATTAATTCCTTGAATTTCTGAAAGGGAAATAGGAGCTTTCATGATGATTTCCATTGTTTCTTCCCTTGTTTAGAAACTGTATTACCAAAATGCACTGGAAGATTATGGGGCCATCTACGAACCTTACAGATATGCTGAAGAAGGAGACCTAGAACAAAGTCACTCTGTCTGCTCTGACTCCATTGGCAGTGAGGATGTGCCTGCTGATTTTTTGAACACTCTGGGACCAAAGTTTTCTGCTCTGGAAAAAATCTGTCAGAAGAAATTTCCATCATTCAATTAATTTCAGAAGTCTGACTACTTTATGGGGTTGCAAAGACTGCAAGCAGAAGCACCAAGAAATTTGGGAAAAAAAGAACCATCTGCACTAGAAAGCATTGCAGTATGTTTGCATCAAGTGCACCTGGCTGGCCTTTTTCTTTCTGCCTACACTGTTCTTGTGCCTGGGGCAGGAACATGACATGTCTGGAAGGAGCACTCTACTCAGATGATGACTGATTTTGGCATATTCCGTGCAGGCTTATGAGAAAAGAAGATCTGATATTAAGGATCCTCAATTTACTATGCAGAGGAAAAAAACAACAAACAAAAAACCAGATCTACTAGACTAGACAGTCCAGTCAGAGTTCTACATGGAAACAAGTCACTTTGGAACAGAGAAGGCAATTACGAGCTAGACCAGCAATACAGCCCTTTATTCAGGAAGCAGTCTATTTAAATCCAAGATTAACTTAAGTCAGATCTGCATGGCACTGTGCTTGATGAACAGATCTTTTATTTCTAGATGACATCAAAAGATCTAATAGAAAGTGCTCTTCTGCTTTCAGTGTGACTGTAACCACACAGTGACCTGAGAGGTCTGCACAAATACTTTTAGGATAAAACAGGCACTTATTTAGTGCCTGTTTGCTTATGCTGGCACCCCGTGGCTGGTAGTATTATTACAATATTGTAAATAATGCTCGGAAAGATAAGAAGCTGTTGACAGAGGACCAGTTATGGTTATTCCTTTCATTCAAATAACTACCCTCTCTAAGTTCACTAAGTGACCATGATGAAAAAATTAAAGGGTTTCCTCAAGCACCATTGATAAAAGAGATGACATGATAAGAAAGGATAGTATCAAAATTCCCTATATGGAAACCACAGTGTTAGGTCTGAATGTGTGCAGCTCACCTAGGCTCAGTTATGGCACGATGGCTATTGGTGTTACAATGCCTGCATGAGGAAAGAATAGCTCAAAACATTCTGAGCTATTCTGAGCTATATTCTATCACTAGATAAGGTTTACAGGCAATAAAAGATGGGGTTCTTCACAAATTTTACTTCTTTCAAAATTCTGAGCGAAAGGAAAAATCCTTTGCCTAAAACAAGCACTAATTCTGGTATCTTAGGCACTGTTCTTCTGTTTCAAAGTGTACTTAAACAGTAAGTTATGCTTTTACTCAGATATTATTAACTAATAATTCAAGGTTGGAATCTTCAGTGAAGTGTGGTAATTTGGTTGAGTGGCAGGCAGCTAAGTTTTCCTAAATGCCAGCAGCAGGTTCTGTTTACACAATAAATCACTACTCTGGTATATTCTTCTTACAATTCCAGATGGAAGACTTCAAATCAGGCCTGTGATTTAGCAGCACTGCTAATAGCACTGCTATTTTTTAGTGCACTGCTGTATTGTACTGAGGTGGGTGTTGGTCTCTTTCCCAAAGTAACAAGCAATAGAACAAGAGGGAATGGCCTCAGGTTGTGCCAGGGGAGGTTTAGATTAGGAAAAATTTATTCACTGAAAGGGTTGTCAGGCCCTGGCACAGGCTGCCAAGGAAAGTGGTTTAATCACCATCCCTGGAGGGATTTAAAAGATATGTAGATGTGGTGCTGAGGGACATGGTTTAGTGGCAGTACTGTGTTCATGGTTGGAATCGATGATCTTAAAGGACTTTTTCAACCAAAATAATTCTATTATTCTAATAACCAAGATGGCTTATTTATTGCTAATTATAACCATATTGGTAAGGTTAGAGTTGTGCTGTTTTGCTATTTCTTCTGATAATTAGGCATTATTAAAAATAATAATGAAAGTATTCTACGTGTTTATTGTTTATGTACACATGTTGGATCTCTAGCACACCATGCTTACAAACACCAAAACACTAGATGTGCTCAGACCCACAGTTGCTACCTACATCACACATTTACATCAATCACACTTCTAAAGATACTATTGCAGGGAGCTACTCAGTAAATGCTCTTAACCATGTGTAGCTGATGTCTCCATCAGGAGACAGAGGTAAGTGTCTGGAGCAGCATGTGTACTTGTGCCACACAAGTTATAGTATGATGCTATCCCAATCCAGCTTTGGGGTAACCTGTTGTTACCCCATTTCCACTGAGAGTGACAATGAATTGTCCAACTCCCGGTCACTGAGGCAACTTTCAAATGTTCACATGAAGGTTGATGCAAAGTCCCTGCCTGATACCCCTTCACCAGTGCTCTGCAGCAAACCTGGGCTGAGGGACTAGACCTTGAGTCAAGACAAGTCACCATATTTCTTCCCAAGTCCCTTCTGCTTGTGCCCTGTGGCCCCTCAAGCCAGGCAGACAGCTCGTGCATCACCCTCAGAAGTGCACAGAAGCAGCCAGTGCTCAGGGGACAGTGGCAGGGCTGGTGGCAGAGCTGTGCTGTCTGTGCAAGCCCAAAGAGATATTATCAATGGCCTCAGTTTTTGCTTTGCTCACACATCATGGCAGAGGGAGTGTGTAAAGTCTCTGCTTTGTTCAGGGTCTGCTTTAAACTAAGTACCTCCATGGCTTGCTGTTTTGTAAATGCTGGTGATGGGCTATAGTGTTTCAATTACCTGTTCACAGTGAGAGGTCTAATCATGATGCCTGTGAATCCCCATTACTTCTGGCCCCTGCTGTGCCCGAGTCAGTGGGAGTCCCAGCAGCACAAATGTTTATCTCCGCACAGTCTTCATCTCTGTCTTTGTTTTGCCTCATTTATAAAAATCTTACTTAAAAGTAAATGACACACAATCAGTAAAGGGGAAATTAATCACACTGGAACCAAACTCCTGACACTGAGTTTTAAAGGAAACAAGAGAGACTGATCATAGGATGGTCCTACAGAGAGTCGATGTCAGAACATTAGCAATAAAATCTTTTTGTCTCAGACAGAAGCGTTTCCCCTGCCTGCCATTTCCTCTACTCTGCTGAGCAACTGGCAGATCCCCTGGGATCTCTCGGCTGCCACAGAAGGAGTATTAAGTTTTAATCAAATCTTTCTGTGCCAGTTTGGGGTCATTTTGTCCCTTCTGAAGGATCCATTTTTCCTGATTAAGGTATTACAAGAAGCCATTTAAAGGACAAATAAATGACAAGAGATTTTAAAAGTGAAGGGTAAAGCATGTGCTGAGTGGGCTATAATTAGTTCCTTCTATTAATAACTTAGGTGGAGGTGTATTTCATAGTCCTATTAATTAAACTCATAGTAACAAAGTGTTGGATTAGTGTTTAAAAAAAACCAAACCCATAGGTCAAGATGGGTACTTTACTCAAGGTTTTCTGAGAGCAAGCAGAGAACAGACATTGTAGCGCTCGTGGTAGTGGCAAAGATTCTCAACGCAGTTCAAGAGCCACTGTCACCTTCAAAGAAATCGCAAATGGGCTTTTTCTTTCTTAATAGATGCTGATGCGGAAGACTGAGAATAATGGTAGAACTACACCATTCCAATGTGGCTTTACATTTTAGCCTGTCATTGCACTTGGATGGGAAAGCTGATAGAAGCCACATGCAAAGCACAGGCAAGCAGATGCTGAACCACCACATCCCTGTGCTTTTTGAGCGCTTCATATTCCCATTATTCCACATTTTTCAAAAGTAACGAGAAGTCTTTAGAATGGAAATCCCTCTTGTGCTAACCCTGTTAAACATGGCACATTGACCTGGATCTGACCAGGATACATTTTTGATGTCTAGAATAATGTAATTCACAAAGTCTACTCTCAATACTTAATTCTATGCTGAATGCACACTCAGGGACTGGCACATTTCTCAAAAACCAGGAGGCATTTGGAAAACCTTGATATTTCAGATTTATTTTGTGTAACATGTGTGGTAGGATTCTACTGTTTCCAGTTACCTGTGAGGTGTGAACTGAAACTCAAACTCACAAAACATGTTTTACTCTGAAGGATAAACCTCTACATTTCTTCTGCTCTGCTTGTGCCACATCCCTCCTGCTGAGGATGCTGCAGTTTGCAAGGTGACCATTCTGTGCTATGGAAAATGAAGCCAACTGAAACCACAGAAGACAGCAGAGGCCCTTCAGCCTTCTTCCCTGTTCCCTAAGCAGATGTAACTATTCAATGTGAGATTTAGCAAGAGAGATTGAATGAATAAATAGAATACCAAAGCTAAATTTTCCAGAAGCTCACACAACATCATCTGCTCTTTGCAGGCTGCTCTACCACTTGCATCAGAATGGTAATGGAGTGTCACACAGCACAGTTGTGTCCAGTAACAGATTATGCAACATGACTAATATCTATTCCTTCTTTCTGATCATCTCCAAGAGATGAAAACCCAGCCTTTTGAGAAAATTGGACCATCATTGGTAAAATATCAGTATAAAAAGGTATTTTTTCGTAAAACATAACTTCACTAAATATATCAATATTATTTGGACCACACAAAGTTCTTTTTTGTACAGTCTACGGATTATTCACAACAGCTGAACACGATACATTATTAATAATTCAGTAGTTTTTTGTTCGTTCTAAAAGCTATAAAATAAGAAAGAATATTCAGCAGAAAATTCAATTAGCAAATTATTTAAAATAATCATTAACGCTTCAATAGAGACTTCCCTGTGTAAAGACAGTTCTGTAAATATCCAGAAGATGGCATAAGTAGGCCAGTTATTGACTTCTCAGTACCAAGAAGTAAAACTCAGGAAGGCTTAGTAATATTCTATTTCAAAACAAGTCTGCTTCTAAAAAGGTATATTTTATATGGTCAGTGGAGAGGAGTTCTCTTCCTGAAGACACAGCCCTTTCCTCATCACCATCACACAAGGGAAGTACCACTTAATAGCTGTACAACAGTGCTGAGAATAAGGAATGTGAGGAGACTGATATGAAAATCTTAAGAAGACATTGATGATTTTTTTTTTTTGCATTAGGCTATTCGATAGAAAACTTTCTACTTTTCCACTGTTTCTTTTGATGAATAGACAGCAATAATGACTGATAAGAAAGATAGCTCTGTATTTTTGTACCTGTATT